TAGTAGAATTTCGACTAGAATGGGGTACGTTAATCGTTTGCTTGGGACCAATAGGCTAGTCAAGTAGTGAGCCAATTTAAAATCGTTAGTTTCGTATTGATTGTTGGTAAAACACCGTTTTGATAGCTCCAATTCACAGTGGTCAGAGATGATAAAATCATAACAATATTGAATTGTGTATAAACAATTGACTTAATCAAACAAGTTTTTTTACGTTGGACTACGTCTTTAATTTCTATACTGGTGACAAGGGATAGGTCGCTCCGCACACCAATCTTGGGTAAACATTTTTCTCAGTTAGCCTCAAGTGTGCCGATTGGGCCGGCACTGCCGGTCATAGAGCAAGCTGTGATTTGTTTTTTTGTAAAATACGAATATGATGGTATATTTGGCAACCCGGTATTTCTGACAACTTGAATGTTTTGGTTTGCATTCGCAATGGCCCCGAAAATGTCAAATATCGTGCTCAGTACGGATTCCTTCTACCGACGAATAAAACGTTTCTACGTCAACTAGAAGGAACCAGAGTTTTCCCATGATGATTCGCTGCAGAAGGTAGATTGTATTCTGAGGGCGGTCAGCGTAGACGAGGAAACCATCTACAGCAAATCAACCTCGCTGCAGACCTGGCTGCTGGGATACGAGCTGACCGATACGATAACGGTGCTGTGCGAAAAGTCCATCTTTTTCCTGACCAGCAAGAAGATCGACTTCTGGAAGCAGATCGAGAAGGACGGTGAGGAGGGCATTCCGTCGGTGATGCTGTTGGTTCGAGATAAAAACGACAAACACAAGGCCCATTTTTAAAAAACTACTGAAGGCAATCAAGAAATCCAAGGATGGCAAAACGTTGGGCGTCTTCTCCAGGGACAACTTCCAGGGTAAATTCTGTGAATCGTGGCGAGCCTTCGTAGAGGGTAAAAGATCCGAGGTTATCACCATCAAGTAGGCCTGCCTGGTGACGGTAGACGTATTCAACAAGTATCTCAAGGATCACATCATGGAGATAATCGATGCTGATACGAAACTGAAACATGCTAAACTGTCGAAGGATGTCGAGCAGGCTCTGACGGACAAAAGGTACGTCTCCGATGTGGATACCAACTTGTTGGATATGTGCTACCCCCTACGAGGATCCAAGCTAAGACGTTCGGTTTTGCCGGGTTGGAGATTTGGGCGTAATTGCTTTTGTAAACAAACACGTCAATCGTCGATTTCTCGCTAATAAAAGAACAATCTCACGAACAAACTATACCAAATGATAGAGGAATCATGCATCTACCTGCTAGTGTTGTTGTTTTTTTTAGATTGAGCTTCAATTCGCAAGAAATTAACAAATGACGTGTTTGTTTACAAAAGCAATTACGCCCTAATCTCGAAGTTCACCGGATATCCGAAAATGAAACTACTTCTTTTACTTAATTCTAATTTAAACAGAAATCTTACTTCAAATTTACATACGTCCCCTCGGTGGTAAGGCCACAGTTCTTACCCTTCACCACCATTAAAGCATATCCATCGTTGCCCCAGTAGTTGGACCAGGAGCTCTTGAATAGCCAGTAATCTTCTCCTTTGAGTTTTCCGTATCCAACCACCACCACCACTGCATGATCCAATCCATCCAAATTGTTCTTGCATACCGGTTCGTAGTACACTTCATTTGCATAGTATGCGAAAGACTTATGACCGGCATCGAGAGCAATCGACAGTCCTCGAAAGCATTCATTGTGAATTTAAATGTGTACCGAGAAGTTAATTGCTGGTCTGAGTTTCTCTAGTATATTTCATTAGAGTATGTTTCTGAAATACACAGTCAAATAGCACGTTATGTTGTGAACAACTTCAATGACAGCTGTCCAGCAGTGCTCCCATTTTATTTAATGAACAATCCAATGCCTACAAGATTGTGCCGATAGACGTGCCCAAGCTGTGCCTAATCTACCCCTTGACTAGGGGTCACATTAAAAAAAATCCAAATTCAGAGATATAACGAAAAATCCCATACACGGACGCAACGATAGAGCGCAAATCGAACACACGACACATTGCGCATGCTCACATGAGCTAGCTCAAGGCTCGCGTATTTGACCCTTTTTTTTCTAAACCGTAGCATGAAAACTTCACTTCTAATCGAAATGGCATCTGAGACAAAGTTGTAGAGAAAAATAATGTCTTTATTGTAGAAAATATAAAAACGGAATCTCGAAAAATTCTCAATGTCTTAATTAACTAAACTATTTCTTTGGAACTTGTCTCAGCATATCTTTGGAACTGTCTTAAGGATTACCTTAGGATCATGCTAAAATATCTTTAGATTTAGTTTCAGAATTTCCGTCAACAATTTAATTATTCTCTCTGGCATTCCCTAGAATTTTTGTTCAACATCAGTCTCGAGTTAGGAGTTTCCTCTTGAAATTCAATTTGCTTTAATTTCTATCCATGTACATTTTTTTTTAAATTCCTATGGAAAATTCCTCACAAATCTCTTGGTATGCTTTAGAACTATTAAACCATGGAATTCTTCTCAGAATTTCCATAAAGTTTACCTAATAATTTTTCTTGGAATTCTTATCACAATAATCTCCTTAACAAAGATAACCAACCAACCACATACATCTAGGAATTATACTGAGAATTCTCATGTCTCTGGAATTAACCCCAAGTTTTCATAAATATTGTCCAATAAGCCCTTGAGAGAATCTTTTTGAATTTCCTTGGAATTCTCTTCGGAATTATTTTAAATTTGCTTAGAATTCCGGTCGAACTATTATGAAAATTAAATGCCCTTGAATATTTTCTAGGGATTCTCTTGGAACTTTCTTCTTCTCCCTGAAATTCTCCTCAAAATCTCTTCAGAACCTTGACCTTCACTCCAGACTCGCTCGGCCCAGTAGCGTTTGGCTCCAAAAAATTTTACATCCCAAGTAACATTGCAAACTTTATCGAGGTTTTATAGCATTCTACAAGTCTAAATCATGTTCTACAGAACCCTCATAAAACTCAAATTTTTACTTGGGATGTAACCAAGAAATACTTCAAAATACTTCAAGATTCTTAGAAAACTAATGATGGTGCTGACTGGGACTTGAGGGTAATTGCTTGGTTTAACGGCCTTCTCAGTCTACGATTAAATCGTAGTCCTTAGAGTAAATTAAGACTGCGAAAGCCGTTATACCAAGCAATTCTTAGGATTTTTTTAGCATGCGCAAAATTAAAATATCGAACTAATGCATACTAAATTATCTACGTTTAGTTTATTTTTCTTGACCAAAGAGAGTTTCAGCCCTTGGCTGGTTTATCTCTGCTAAATTATATACATTATGGAACATAATTAGACAGTTTGATGCTATCTTGGAGTTTAATAAATTTGAAAAATTCTGAAAATTAATTCCTGCGGGTATTCCTTTTAACCATTATATATAGTGCCGATACTCACCATCTTTGCTTGATTTCTTATTCATATGGGACAGTTATGCTTCTATGGGCAGTATATGTTAATATGAAACAGCGATGATGGGCACGCGGGAAATACCGGGAAAAAGCCACAAAATTTATTTAACCACCGTAATACGGCACCTTCTCGTGTAAGGCAAATCGACTTCATGAGCTATGTTCTTCCCTACTTTTGTACCAATGCTTTCTGGATAATTTTTAATCCATTACAATCCATATATGATCCCTTAAGATAAGAAATTTTGGTAATGCCATAAATTAAATTTAGCGTTCAATTGATTTTATAAAAAGTAAAGAAAGCATAAATCTCGCGTCACTTTTAAAAATATCCTAAGTAACAAATGTAAACAAATCGAGTTAAGCGATACAAACTATTGCTCTTCTATCATTGTATGTGATACAAAAACATCAATCCAAATTTACTTTCATTTATTTAAGATAATCATTGGTCAAAAATTGTCCAATATACAGTTTGAAATGATGGGTACATGATTGTTACTTCGGTCATTCGGACTGCCTAACATGATTGGTGCTCATTTTCTAAAGGCGGGGCCAATCTAAAGTTAGGTACTCTACTCTGAAATCTGTGAAAAAGAATCTAGTATCATGTAGAACAAAACGTCCAATGTAACACTCATTGATTATGTCATTGAGAAAATCGCCCAATGTCACATATCCGATGTACATCTTGTGAGTAAATTTTGAGTTTTACCGTTTCTACTGAATTTTCAACGTTATTATTCACTGACTACATTAAAAATAGTATTGCAAAGTGTATTGTTTCTAAACAGTTAAAATAATTTGTCGAACTTCAACATCGATTTTCTCAAAATGCAGGATATGTTACATTGGTCTATTTGAAAAGTGATGCGAGAAATCACGTGTTGTCAAAAATGGGGAGGTACTGTATTCATAACCACGATGACGGTAACGGCGCAATCCGATCGTGTCGAAAAAATTACAATTGACATTTTTTTCAAAAGTATGATGAGATTGTAAAAAGGCTCATTGTATCGATTTCAACCACTATAGCCATAATATATTACAATTTTACCGACTCATGGAGGTTTCACTGTGGCTTCCAGTTGATTTTTTTTTTGCACAGCTGACCCCAAGAACAAGTTTGATAACACCCATAATAAATCATGTTCGCTTATCAGCAGTACGCATTTCAATTACGTGTTCGATTCCACCGGGATGCACATGACTTGTGAGGGAAAATGTCACTCCTTCGGGCCTCCGTAGTAACCGATGCAATATTCTGGACCAGTGCCAGCGGCACATTAGCACTGAATATTTTAACGGTTCCCCAGAGTGGGCTCAATCGATTCCGAATGCATTCAATTGACCCATATTGTTGATGGTTCGACCTACGGTTCACATTGTTTTCGACTCATCAAAATTCGTGTGAACAATCCAGCAGTAGGTAGCTGTTACTCAACTCGAATGATATAACCTATAACCATATTTTGGTGTACTGTTGTAAGAACGAGAAGCCGTACAATATCTCAACCTCAACGACAAAAAAATCACACATCAAAACAAACCTCTCCGCTGGAAGTGTTCGTCGCGAAGTCTCGCCATAAACAGGTCCGGACGTCCATCGAAATCCGACCGGGTCAGGACCTCCTTGACCGTGTCGTAATCGTTGACGATGACCGCCGGCAGCGGTCCCAGATAGAGACCGATCAGCTTGCTCTTGTACAGCTGGGACAGTTTGGCCGCGGCCTTGTGCAGATGGCGGAAGTTCAGGGCCAACAGGAACGGGTATCCTCCCAGCAGTGGCAGCCTCGGCGGTCCAGGTGGGAAGTTTGGCGAAGGCCGCTCGAACAGATACCGATAGAAGCGATAGATTACAAGCCCCAGCAGGGCAGCCACTATCAGCTCGCTTATCAACACCATTACGACGATGAACTGGTCACAGAAACAATTTCAATTAGAGTTCACTCGCGAATTCGCACGCGGACCCACTACACACAAGTCGCAGTTCAGTTGTCGGAATATGTACTCAAACTGCCGTTGTCTATGTCTTGCAGCAGATTGGTAGTGTATTGTTGCACGGGCACCCTATTTGGGAGACACATTGGGTCACATCTGTTACCGTCGGACGCGAATAAACGACTGATGACGATGGGCGCGTTTTTGCTCTTCAACCTTCTACCTTCCTACTTCTATTACCATCCGACCGACCGACCAACCGACCGTATGTTTGCATTTCATTTTTTGATGCTTTTGCGCTTCCATCCGACCAACATTGCGACCGTCTCCACCACCCACCGTTCATGCTCCACCATCTCCATAGTAGCACCGTCATCACCATCATCGCCACCATCCAGTTTTGAGTTTTGACACAGTGGTACCTACTCTCTCCTCCGTCCGCCGCTAGACGATGATATGAAGATGATGATGATGATGATGATGGTGGTGGTGGTGGCGGTGGTGGAGAAGACGGCCGTTGGGGGTGTGGTTGGATCTTCTGCTAACCGAACGACCGAGCGAGATTCCCTCGAGAAATGCGGCAATGCGGGTGGTTTTCCGTCACTCGTTCTTCCGCCTGTCGGACGTGTAGCGAGCTTAGGAGACGTTCGCAACGAGTGGACGCAGAGGAGCAGGAGAGGCGGGCGGGGGCGGGTGATTGTGGGAGAGATCAACTTCTTAGAACGAGGGCGCACACGATGGATTGGATGGTGATGATGTCGATGTCGTGAAATTAATTTTATGATATACAACTTGAAGTCAACTTTGAATACGGTAGAAGGTTGCTTATGGTTGTTTGTTTAGGTCGCATGATGAAAGGTTAATTAAGAAATGGAGAAATGTTTTTCTGCCCTGGAATTGTCGGAATGTATTTCTCTAACCTCGGTCTAATGTGAAACCTTCAATTGGGTTCTTTAATTTTGACAAATGTATCAGTTAGGTACTGTACATCATCTGAAAGGGCTTCGTTTTCTGAGCACAACGATATTTTCTTCGATCCCATTTACTTCCCTCTTCACCTGCTTCAAGATTTCGATTAACCTGTAAAATATCTCCAATTTGACGAATGATAAATATTTTGGTAACATATATTTGTATCCCACAAAATGTTGTTTGGCTTATAGAAGATCAAGATCTAAAATCCAGGAAGCTTTGAAGAACTTTTAATACTGCGCTTCTCCTGCTCAGGTTGATATATACTTTTTCCGACATACCAAAAAAACAGATAGGCTCATTTTTTGCAGGATACTCTTTGTTTCCATGAGATTTTGGAGATCATCAACATGCTAATGCAAATCTCATCTCATACATGTTTCTACAGAGTAGACATATTGTAGAGCAATTCTGTTGAAAAAAAAACTTATCTATAAGTGGTTATTTTTGAACGTCTTTTTTGTTTAAGGCAGATGTGATGTTAGGGTTTTGTTTTTCAATAACCGGGAAAAACACCGGGAGTTCAAAAATTGGATTTGAAAGGACACTTTGCACATTGTTGACGTCACTTTCACTTCTCACGTAAGAACTGATGAGGAAGGTAGAGATAGTTTTTTTCTTCTTCCGGTTGATCCAGATAACATAAACCACGAAGCTTTTAGAATCGAAATAAAAGCCAAATAGATCATGTATTGTTGTTCTTGGTAAGAATTGAAGTTTAGCGGCGCTGGTGGTGTAGTGATAACCTCTCACTGCAATGGGTCTGGGTTCAATCCCAGTCAGCGTCGTCGGGATTTTCTAAGGCATAAAATCTCTGATCACACCTTCTATCGGAAGGGAAGTCCTCGGTCCATGAGTTGATGGGTCGATAGGTAGGGTCCAGGTGTGGGAGCTGTCTACCTGGCGTCGGTAGTAAATCAAGGAAAAAACAAAAGAATTGAAGTCAAACGATACTTAAGATATGTTAACGATGATGCATAGTGCTAATCCAATCCAAGATTTATTTATTTTATTAAAATATTGTCGTATTATTTTTTGGGTGATAGGAATACTACAATCTAATCAGAATTGTTTTCATCCACTGGCTGCTCTTATGGTGACAGTTTAATTGGCTGCAGATACGATATCTCGCTTCTATCTCTTACATTGCGCTATTTAGACCACCCGCACTAATGCGTCGCTAAAGCAGGGTGTCGACTACCTGGAAAAACCTGGAAAGTCAGGGAATGTCAGGGAATTATATTTATGATCTGGAAAGTCAGGGAATGTCAGGGAATTTTAGTGTAGGCCAGGGAAAAAAAATTATGTTGATCACATTGCAAAAAATCATGTGTGGAACTCATAAAAACAATCTTTGAAATTTTATCAATGCATGACGTCAATGTTTTTGGGAAGATCCCGGGCATCAGATCTACTCGCTGCGTTTATGGACGCCCTTGCCGGTTGCTGCAAGTATCCATGGATGGGCCCAATGTGAATTGAAGCTAGAGGTAAAAAAAGGTGGCGAGAAGCTGATAGATCTGGGAAGCTGTGGGCTGTTTATTTTACATAATGCATTCAAGGATAGTGTTCGCAGTATCAGTTGGGATGTTGTCCAATATTTGCGTGGTATCTACAATATCTTCAAAGATGTACCAGCAAGACGAGCGTTTATCACGATGTATTCTTGATCTACCATATTCCCGTTAAAGTTTTGCGGTCACCGATGGTTGGAAAATAGTGCTGCTGTTCAGAGGCAGGGCTGGTAGCCGAACATCCGGAAAACGTGAGAATATTTTAAGGGTGTTATATCATGGAGATTTCAAGAACTTAAAAAATGTGAAAATTTAGCTTAGTTGGTTAGAGAACATAAACGAAGTTCCATTAATAAAAAAGCGAGAACTTTTAGCAAGCAGTGATATATTCTAGAAATTCCAGAGAACTAAATTTAGATATTTCTAGATAGTTAAATGATATTCAGTGAAGTTCCGAGTACTTCGAGGATGATCAGATAGCTTCAGAATAGCTTTTTAGCTTTTTTTAGCTTAGTCTGACTGCACGTATCGATAGTTGCACTCCGTGATTGATCTGAACCAGTGAAATTGTACAAAGAATCAACTGAATGGGGCTTGGGAGTAACCTGCCATTCTCAGTGTACATGTTCCAGTGACTCCTACCTTTAAAGATCAATAACGTCACCGGCCACGTCCTTGCAATCAGGTGGGAGAGGGAAGGAATGTTAGTGTGTGACTTTTGTTGTTTTGGGACCGTGTTTACCTCTGCATCCCACAAAAGTCACAGGAAGGAGGTTTTGTTAGTGGGTTAGGTTCGTTGGATCAGGATTCACCTTGATAAGTGATGCGATCTTTTGTTTTGTGTAGTTATTTATAAGTGTTTTCGATTTATGCTCTAAACAGCCGGCTGTCTAGAGATGTAGATCATTATTAGATGTGTGTATACCGATTTAAACCAACAATAAGGATACTGTTGGGGCCACTCACAAAGTGTGATGATGGTTTATTTTATTTTATCAATGACCAAAATAATTAATTATAAGCGGTTTGAACCGATTTAAACCAACAGCAAGGATGCTGTTGGGGCCACTCACAAAGTGTGATGGTGGTTTACTTGATTGAATATAAAATAATTATTAGAACCGATTTGACCCGATTTAGACCAACAGCAAGGATACTGTTGGGGCCACTCACAAAGTGTGATGGTGGTTTATTTAGTTCGGAAGAAAATGAATATGTATACTTCTTTTTTTTTATATAATAGAACGAATTTGTACTGATTCAAACCAAAAGCAAGGGTTCTATTGGGGCAACTCACGAAGTGCGATGGTGGTTTATACTATAAGGGCATAAAACAAAATCAAGAGCCATTTCGGTTTCCATAATCCGACGGAAACGTCTTGATCATCGCGCGATTTTCCGTATTGATTCAAATTCCGAACAGTGCGTTAAAATCATCCTTTGAAAAACACCTTTTTTACCTAAAATATTGCTGATCCGCTCAGAATGTATTTAAACTCACGACTTATCGTAATATGGACATCCTAAAAGAAAATTTTTCAAAATCCGTCCCATACAAAAACACAAGTGCTCAGAATTTGAGCGTGTTCGTAATATGTATCAGCTCTTTAATATAACTTACCGATAAAAACTGTCTCCATGATTCTTTGGGTTGTTTCGTATTCATTCGTTATAAGTCGTTTATTGGTTGAGCTGCAAATCTTCGTTAGCTTATATTCGGAATTTGTTGTCCTACACTAAACTGTTTATCGTTTTGCATCCATATTATGATCGATTTTAAACGAATGACGCTAGGTACGTCTGTTTAAACGGTTTAAACACACGCATGCAAGACAAAATTTATTTTGAGCAAAGCGGTTTGTTTACTAACAGAAATGCAGCACGTTGATTGTATTCACACCACTAAATTTACTCTTATTTTTGCACACACACAGGCACATCTTTTTCCCAGAAGAAAAAGTGATCCAACAAGTGGTTGCAATATTGTTTTCGGAACTTCCCGGTAATTTTTTAAGTTATAATCACAAATTTCACTTCCAATCACAAATCTTTTTCTAAATGAACATATTTATATAAAACATTACACTTTAAAAGCACATTTCACCACAAAATTATTTTTTTTCCGAAACGTGATTTCTATGCAAATATGTCGTCAGTTGTAAAGTAAAATCGATGATCAGATAGCTTCAGAATAATCCCATTAACTTCAGCAAATTTGCAGCAACTTACAAGGAGTTCCGTGGAATTATAGGGTATTCCAAGAATTCTATGATTGATCCTAAAACGTCAGAAGCGTCAGGGAATTATGAATATGTATCAGAAAATTTGCTGGATTATTAAACAAATTTAGAGAACTGCAGGTAAGCATAGATAAGTTCAGGGAAAAGCGAGTGTTAATAATGGTTATAATACTTAAGGAACATTGTCGAAACTACAAGGCACGTCAATTAATTTCAGTAAAGTTGCGGATTCTTAAAAAATACTGATAAATTCAGGGTAGTCTAGATAACTTTAAAGAAATTCAGTAATCGTTTAGACACCAAGAAAGTCTAGACTATTGAAGAAGTTTTAAATTAGTGCCGATAATTTAAGGGAAGTTTTATGAACTTCAGAAAAATCTTGAGAACTTCAGTGAAAATCATAGAAATATATTAATTATTTCGTTCTTATTCCCTGAACATTTCGGGAGCACAAAAGTTCCATAAATTTAG